AACAGTATCAGCTCTTTCCAAATATATTTTATTGTATTCCAATCCATACGATTAGATCTTTTGAACCTAGCCAAATAGATCAACTGAAAGGAAAAACTGTTAAAAGCTTGACTATTTTGAACATGAACATACAGGAAGACAAGAATTGTTTCACTAGATGTTTAAAATTGTCTGAGGGAACACCCAATAAAACAAGGTATTTTAAAGGAATTCAGTGAAAGACCAACGGAAAAGAAGAGATCATGTGGAAACTTAGCCTCCCCTGCTCTGGCTCCTGGGATAGGATGCTGACCCTCCTTCCTTGTGCAATCCCATTGTTTCCTCCATACACACTGGTTCTCACACCCATGATCTCAGGACTGCCTTCTCTTATGAGCTCTGGATTCGCGGATGCACTAGCCTTGCTGCATAATCTTCATCTAGATGTGTACTGGGCAACTGGAGTCCCAAATTTCAGTTTCAGTGTTCCATGCCAACCTGCCCAGCCCCCAAATTCCTGTGTGTATAAATAGCAATCCACCTTCACCTCCTCCACCAAACCTCTTGCCCAGACACTATATCTCTCACCAGGACTACTTCAAATCCTTTCCTCCATTCTTGCTCAAGCCTTCTCACTGATACTCATACCTGTCCCATATGTCTTTCCTCTCCATCAGTCCTCCAGTGATATCTCAGAGTGGAATTTACCAAGAAGCAAGGAGAGTCAAAGCTCTGGGGCCCTTCACTTTCTGGAGATTCTCTGAGTGCTGGCAGTTGCTGGGAGCTGTAGCGTGGTGGGGTGGGGAGGGGAGGAAGCCAGGCTGCAGTCAGAACAGACTATGTGAGCATGCTTGGTAAACTTCCTGAAGAGTTCTTAGAAGACAGGGGCCAAACATTCATTGAGATTTCCTTTCTTTTTCTAAACGCACATTCACTCTCTTGAGTGTCATGTGCATGCTTTTGTTTTCCCTTTCTTCAAGATACCTCTGACTGTCCCTGGTCCTTCCAAGGACCATGATTTTATAGGACCTGTTCCTTGGCTTCATTTCTAACCCCATTTTCTATGTTTGGCCAACTTTCTCACCTCAATCTGGGGCCACAGATTTTCTTGCTGCTCTTCAAATGTTACAAGTTACTTTCAGTCTCACAGCCTTTACTTTTTCTATTTCCTCTGCTTAAAGCATCTCTGCCACATTGTTTATGACTGACTCCATTGTTTCATTTATGGATCTGATGAAATTTCACCTTCTGAATAAAGGGCTCCCAAGTAGCCTGTGTAAAATAAATTCACTAATCATTCCTATCTCATCTCTGCCTTTATTTCCTGTTCACTATAATTATTAATACTTGACATTTGATTACATATTTATTAACTTATTGCCTATATTTACCACCAGGATATAAATTCTGTGTGGGCAGAATCTTTGTTTTCACCATCAAAAACCTAGAATAGTGGTTGAAAAAAACTGTTATGGAGTAACTATTTTTGGAGAGAATGAAGGAAAATATTCAACATTGGAATTTTTTACTTAAAAGCAATAATGTTAGTGAATCACTGCATATGATACCCAAATAAGTTATTTCTGTATTACAACTCAAACGTACCAAAAAACCCTCTGAAGCTCATCATTAAAAATGTAAAGGTAGATGCTTTAAATAATCCCCAAATGCATAAAGACTTTCTAAGCACAAAACAGTGAAAGACATTATAGTTGATATCACTCACAAAGAGTTACTGTCTTTTTTTGGTTTGTTTTTTGACACAGCATTTCACTCTTTTTGCCCAGGCTGGAGAGAACAATGGCACAATCTCGGCTCACTGCAAATTCTTTCTCCCAGGTTCAAGTGAATTCTCCTGTCTCAGCCTCCCAAGTAGCTAGGATTACAAGCACGCACCACCACGCCAGCTAATTTTGTATTTTTAGTAGAGACGGGGTTTCACCACGCTGACCAGGCTGGTCTCGAACTCCTGACCCCAGGTGATCCACCTGCCTCAGCCTCTCAAAGTGCTGGGATTACAGGTGTGAGCCACTGCACCTGGCCAGTTAGTATTTTCATACCAAAAACATGTTCATATTTATAAAAAACACTTATAAAGAAAATGTTTCAATAGAAAAAATGGGAAAAGGATACAAACATTTCACAAAAATAGTAGTTACCTGGATAAACGTGAAAACTTATATAAACATATCGGTAATCAAAAAACGCAAGTTAAATAACGATACACCTGTGAAATTGACTAAGAAGGAAAAGCAGACACAATTCAGAGCTGGTGCAAGTGAAGTTTAATTCTGCAGCAAAATTTGAAGAGGCTATTGGAAAAGTAATTCAACGTTGTGTATTAAGTTTGAATCACTGTATATCAAATGGTAGATTGTCTTAGGGAAAAACTTATTCAGAGAATGCTTTTTGTATAATTAGTTTTATTTCTGCATAATTTAGAATGTTAAAATTTTTAATACAATGTCACTATTCACTATTAGGAGAAGATTACAATTGTGATATAATTACTTTGATAGACATTAACTCCAGTAGATACTGTCCAGTCATCTATACAAACACTACGTATTTCAGACTGAAGAGAC